GACATTGGTTGCAATCCCCACGTAGTGTCAGCACCCTCCCCCTTTCCACCGTAGGTTCCGTGTGTCCCTTCATCCAGTTTTCCTGTCCCTTCCTGACTTCTCATCTTTGCTTTTGGGCAGCTGTTGCCCCTTTGGTCTCATATACTTGATTGAACTAAGAAGCATGTTCCATTGTTTTATGGGCCTCTCTAATCTTTGGCTGAAAGGTGGGCTTAGGGAGTGACTTTGGTTCTGAGTTAGCAGGGCTCCAGGAGCCATAGTCTCAGGAGTTCCTCCAGTCTCTGTCAGACCAGTAAGTCTGGTCTTTTTAAAAAAAAAATTTTCTTTTTTTTTTTTTTGTGAATTTGAATTTTGTTCTTCATTTTTCTCCTGCTTTGTCTGGGACCATCTATTGTGATCCCTGTCAGAGTGGTCGGTGATGATAGCCAGGCACCATCTAGCTCTTCTGGGCCCAGGCTGGTGGAGGTTGTGATTCATGTGGTCCATTAATCCTCTGGAGTAATATTTTTCTTGGGTCTTTGATTTTCTTCATTCTCCTTTGCTCTGGACGTGATGGGACCAATAGATGTATCTTAGATGGCTGCTTGCAAACTTTTAAGACCACAGATGCTACTCACCAAAGTAGGATATAGAACATTTCTTTAATGAACTATGTTATGCTAATGGACCTAGATGTCCCCCAAAACAGTAGTCCCCAGTCCTCAACACCTGTAACTCAGTCCCTCAAGGTGTTTGGATGTGTCTAAGAAGCTTCTATGACTTTGTCTTGGTTAAGTTGTCCTGAGTTCACCTAGACTGTGTGTTGTCTTTCCCTTCACCAAAGTTAACACGTGTCTGCTCTCTAGTGATTTCCCCTCCCCAACCCTCTCTTCCCTCATAACTATCAAAAATTGTTTTTTTCTGTGTGTGTAAACCTTTTCATGAGCTTTTATAATAGTGGTCTCATATGGTATTTATCCTTTTTGATTGACTTATTTCACTCAGCATAATGCCTTCCAGATTCATCCATGTTGTGAGATGTTTCACAGATTCATCATTGTTCTTTATCGTTGCGTAGTATCTATTGTGTGTATGTATCATAGTTTGTTTATCCTTTCATCTGTTGATGGGCACTTAGGTTGTTTCCACCTTTTTGCTACTGTGAATAATGGCTATAATAAACATGAGTGTGCATATGTCTGTTCATCTGACAGCTCTTATTTCTCTAGGATATATTCCTAGGAGTGGGATTGCTGGATTGTATAATATTTCTACTTCTAGCTTTTTAAGGAGGTGCTATATTGTTTTGTCATAGTGGTTTTACATTACCACCTGCAGTGCATAAGAGTTTCAGTCTCCCCACAGCCTTTCCCACATTTGTTATTTTCTGTTTTTTTAATTCATCCCTGTAACGTGGGGTGAGATAGTATCTCATTGTAGTTTTGATTTGCATTTCTCTAATGGCTAATGATTGGAAGCATTTCCTGATGTGTCTGTCAGCCCCCTGAATGCCTTCTTTGGTGAAGTATCTTTTCATATCCTTTGCCTATTTCTTAACTGAACTATTTTCTTTTTGTTGTTGCAGTGTTGAAGGATTCTAAAGATTTTAGAGATTAGACCCTTGTCAGATATGTTTTAGCCAAAAAATTTTTTCCCAATCTGTAGGTTCTCTTTTTACTTTTTGGTGAAGTCTTTTGATGAGCATACGTGTTTAATTTTTGGTAGCTCCCAGTTATCTAGTTTATATTCTAGTGTTTGTGACTTTGTTAATTATGGTTTCTGTCTTCTTTTGATGCTTCCTGTGCTGTTCAATTTTTTGCCCATAAAATCCTTCAGTGTTGCAACTCAAGACTAGAATTTTTTCTTCAGTTCTTTCAGCTTGAGAAATGCCAAGCGTGTTCTTCTCTTTTAGTTTTCTAACTCCAGGTCTTTGCACATTTCATTATAATACTCTACTTTGTTTTCTCGACTGGCCCTTTGAAATCAGTAGTTGGAAAATTGGAACGATTATTAATCAAAGTGTGAATCTAGGAAAATTGGAAATTGTCAGAAATGAAATGGAATGACCTATAATCGATATCCTAGGCATTAGTGAGCTGAAATGGACTGGTATTGGCCATTCTGAATTGGACAATCGTATGGTCTACTATGCTGGAATGATAAATTGAAGAGGAACAACATCACATTCATTGTCAAAAAGAACATTTGAAGATCTATCCTGAAATACAGTGCTGTCAGTTATAGGATAATATCCGTACGCCTACAAGGAAGACCAGTTAATATGACTATTATTCAAATTTACGCACCAACCACTAATGCCAAGAAGAAGAAATTGAGGAATTTTACCAACTTCTGCTGTCTGAAATTGATTAAATGTGCAATCAGGGTTTTCATTGATAATTACTGGTGATTGGAATAGATGGAATTGTGTCTGCCAAAAATATGTGTTTTCAATCCTAACCTCTATGCCTGTGGTTATTATCCCATTTGGGAACTGGTTGTCTTTGTAATATTAATGAGACAAGATTAGTGTAGGGTGTATCTTCAGCCAGTCTCTTTTGAGATGCAAAAGAGATTAAAAGGCAAGCTAAGAGGTGGAGATGGGGGAAGACAGATGCCAAGCCACATGAAGGTCACCCAGGAGCAGAAGCTTAGAAGAGACAAGGACCTTCCTCCAGAGAAAAAGCCTTCCCCTAGAGCCAGCGCCCTGAATTCAGACATCTAGCCTTTTAAAGAGAAAATATATTTCTGTTTGTTAAAGCCATCCACTTGTGTTATTTCTGTTATAACAACACTAGATAACTAAGATGGAGCCCTGGTGGTGCAGTGGTTAAGAGCTTGGCTGCCAACCAAATGGCTGGCAGTTTGAATCCACCAGCTGCTCTTTGGAAACCCTATAGGGCAGTTCTACTCTGTCCTATAGGGTCGCTATGAGTCGGAATCAGTAACTAAGACGGTACTTGGAAGAAGGAACTGGTGTTCTACTTCTGAAACAATCAGCCATTGAAAACCCTATGGAACACAGTTCTACTCTGACACACATGGGGTCACCATGAGTCAGAACTGACTCAACGGCAACTGGTTTGTTTGGGGTGGAGGGTTAATTCCAGGCAGTGGAAACAGCAAGTACAAAGACACAGAGATGGGAAAAACTTGGCATGTTAGAGTTACTGAGATGGTACCCGTGTGGCTCTAATGGGGGGAGAATGCTACCCAGTGAGGTTAGAGAGGCGCATGGGAGCCAGGCCTCTCTCCTGCCACCCGTCTCTGCCAGCCCCTTCCCTTTACTCTGTTGACTTGCCACACTGATTCTTTCCCAAACGTGCCCATGCAAAGTTGCTTCCTTTGTAAAGCCCTTCTCGCTGTCTCCCCTCTGTTCCCCTGACACTTTGTTTTCACCCCTTGTCAGAATGTCATGTGGATAGATAGCTGTTCACATGACCGTTTTCTCCAATAGACCGCAGGCCCATCGGTTAGATGGTGTGTCTTCTTTACCTTTGTGACCCCAGCTTTCAACACATGGTATGCACATCATAAATCTTGATAGCCTTTTTTTTTTTTCCTCCCCACCAGTTTGTGCTTAGGGCCTCCTTAGCAAAGCCTTCATAACAGAAATTCTCACAGGTCATACTTTTTGTAGTATCTCAACCATCCAAGTAAGGAAAACCAGCAACTTAAGGAGGAATTTGTTTGTTTAAAACTTGTCTCTGAAACTGAACGGGAAAGTGAGGGGAGGCATATAGCACAGTGTTACCCTGTAGTGGGTTGAATGGTGGCCCCCCCAAAATAGCAGCACCCCAGAAACCCCCTTCATGCAGAAACTGTGACAGATCTTATTGGAAAATAAAGTCTTTGAAGATGTAATTAAGGATCTCGAGATGAGATCATCCTGCATTATCCAGGTGGGCCCTAACTGCAAGGGCAAGGTCCTTATAGAGACAGAAGAGAAGACAGGGGCAGAGAGGAGAAGCCATGTGAAGACAGATGCAGAGACTGGAGTACTGCAGCCACAAGCCGGGGAATGCCTGCAGCCCCCAGATGTTGGAAAAGGCAAGAAAGGATTCTCCAAAAGAAGCTTCTGAGGGAGCTGCCAGGACACCTTGATTTTGAACCTCTGGCCTCCAGAACCGTGAGAGAATAAAGTTCTTGTGCTTTAATCCACCCAGTTTGTGGTAATTTGTTAGGCCAGCCCTAGGAAGGTAATATATACCCCTTCTCAGGTATACCTCAATGATCTCTTTTGTAAGGTGGGTGTGATAGATAATACCTGCCTCAGAAGGTTATTGCCCTGATGGAATGATTCACAAATAGCGATGAGTGCTCTTGGTCATCTGCTTCAAGGACTCCGGAGTTCTCTTCCTCTTGTGAATAAAAACCCAATGGTAGAGTAGGAAGTTTCCATCTTGTGATGCCTGATGAGTCAAGGCCCATACTGCGGATTTAACCTGAGATCGTTGGTTTCCACCTCGTGAGCTCCCAGGTCCTGGCGCCTTCCAGCCGTCCTTAGTTAGGGTTTTATATCAAGGGAGAGGGCAGCTGTCTACTGCAGGCTGGGGGAAGTAGTCAAGCTAGGCCTCAGACACCAAGTGAGAAATGACCCATATGGAAGAGAAAGCAGCTGCTCAGTCCCCCACCAAAAGGAAAGGTTTGGGTTCTGAATTTCTACTTCCTGTTAGGAAACCCTGGTGGCGCAGCGGTTAAGAGCACGGCTGCTAACCAAAAGGTCAGCAGTTCAAATCCACCAGGCGCTCCTTGGAAACCCTATGGGGCAGTTCTACTCTGTCCTATAGGGTCGCTATGAGTCGGAATTGACTCAACGGCAGCGGGTTTGCTTTATTAAGGGACTCAAGGAGCCCTGGTGGTGCAGCGGTTAAGCTAACTGAAAGGTTGGTGGGCCTCAGTAAGCACCGGGAGCCTGGGGAAGGCAGGCGTCACTGGAGCGCGGGACGCTGCTCGCTGCCTGGGCAGGCGGCCAGTGGTCAGAGCGGGAGCCTGATGCTGACCATCCTTTCTCCCACAGGATGGCGGGCACCGTGCTTGGAGTGGGTGTGGGTGTGTTCATCCTGGCCCTGCTCTGGGTGTTAGTGCTGCTGCTGTGTGCGCTGCTGTGCCGAGCCTCTGGTGTAGCTAGGTAAGGCATTCATTCATTCTGGCTGGGAGGCCTAGGTAAAAGCAGTTAGAGGCAATCAGACACTCATCAAACTCAGCAAACGTTTAGAATTCAGAAGATCGTTTCTATAATTACTGGCAGTTTGAATGAGTTGCATTTTGACCTCTTATCATAAGCACCAAGGAGCCCTGGTGGCACAGTGGTTAAGCCGTCGGCTGCTAACTGATGAGGTTGGTGGTTCGAACCCACCAGCTGCTCCATGGCAGAAGGATGTGGCAATCTGCCTCTGTAAAGATTTACAGACTTGGAAACACTGGGGGCAGTTCTACTCTGTCCTATAGGGTGACTAGGAGTCAGAATTGACACAGTGGGTATCCTAAGCAGTAACTGTGCTATAGGTGCTCTGAAGCAGAGGTGGGAGGGGAAGGAAAATGGCTTATTTCCTGTTCTCACTGGGAGGAGGTGGAGGGCCACAAGAGATGACAAGAAAATCTGCTTTTGCAGCCTATTGTGTGTGTGCGCGCGCATGCGTGTGTGTGTGTGTGTTTCATAATTGTTTAGATTTATAGTGGATGCTTGTCCAATCCCTAAGGCTCTAGGCCTGGGCCCAGGGAAACTAAAGAACATGGAGTGACTTGGGCTGGGCCTGAATGTGAGATGGTGACTTCAGAACACAGCTAGGCCATAAACTGACTCAAAATAAAACGATAGCATTGAACTCTCCGGCCAGCCGTGTCAGTTTGCAGCAGAGAGTTTCATAATTTGCTAAAGTGTTCTGGTCTCAAAACAAAACCAGAAGTAGGGGCGAGAGAGAGGCTGCTTGGGTTTTTCATGATGATGACTTTGTGCAAAGGCAAAAGTAAAAACGACAAATTCTCATTCTTAGCTATTTGGAATAACCTTGTTAAGCATAAATGCATCCAGCAGGTGCCTGTCTACAGGAAGAGTTTGGGGATGGGGGGAAAGCATGTCTAAATTTGTTAGGCAGGGTGGACAGTGGGTATCTGGGCATCAGGAAAGGGCTGAAACACAGAATATTGGCTCCAGGGAAGAGCAGGCCAGGCCTAACCCCGATATGAGGGGACACTCTAACAGTGCTTTAATATTTTGTCTTTCGGACCCCAGGTTCTCTGTCATTTTTGTATTCCTTGGTGCTCTGATCATCACATCAGTTCTGTTGCTTTTCCCCAGAGCCAGTGAATTCCCAACCCCAGAGGTGGAAATTAAGGTAAAGCTGTTGGTTTCCTTTTGCCTCCTGCTTTGTAACTCTTGTTTCTCTTGACCCAGGCATCTGCCCTGCCCTGCAGTGGTCCCTGATATCAGAGTGGCTGACGTGTGCTAGAAGAACTTAGCTGTAAAGTTAAAACACTGGTAGGACAAGCCCAAAGGGGGTGTTACATTCTCCTATTTGCCTAGGAAAGGAATGGTATTCTGAACTTCACCTGCAGCACCACCAGGCAGAGATCTGCCTGGTCTGCTCTCACCTCCAACTTGCACCACGTTGAATGAGCAGTGTCTGAAAAGACACCTCATAGTCTTGGAGACAGAGAAAGAGAAAGTGAGTTAGGAATAGGACTAGACCAGGTCCCTGAGATTGAAGTGCATCCATTCCTGATAGCCTGGCTCAGAGGAGCCTTCCGGGTGCTGACCTGTATGCTTTCCATCTCCTCGGGGTTGAATTTTCCCATTCATGATGTGGAGAGAGTAATTTCCATGGAGAAGAGCAGTGCATAAAGAGGAACACGTCTGTGGAAGGCAGTTGTGGACAGACAAGTCCAATGATAACCGTCCTCTGGGAGCTCCTTTGGTCCTATTCCTGGACCACACCTGCCAGCACCCACCTCTTTAAATAGACCTTTATCATCTCTCTCATAATCCTTCCCAGGAGACCCCTCCCATTCCGACACATTCATGATTTGGGGCTCTGGCTTTACCATACAAGTGCCTCTCGGATCCCTAGCATCTTGATAATGGTATTGACTTCTTAGGTCCTATTATTCCTTCTAGAAGCTTCTTACCTCTCAACTTCCATTTAAATGTTAAAATAGCAATGATAATAGCTAACATTCTTCAAGGCGTTACTGTGTGCCAGGTCCTGTGCTAAGCATATTGTCTGCATCGTCTCGTTTAAGCCTTAGGACAACCCTGGGTGTTATGAAGTCGATACTATTATTATCCTCATTTTATAGACAAGGAAACTGAGGCTTTAAGAGGTTAAGGTAACTTGTCCAAGGTAATACATATATATATATATGAGAAGAGGCAGAGCAAAGATTCAAACTGAGATCTGCCTTCAAAACCTGAATTTTAAGGATTAATCTTCTGAAAGTGCGTCATGTTTTGTCACGAGGAGCTCTTAAACCTGCCATTTGATCCCTCTTGTCTGCTTTCCTCCCACAATGGCGTGGAGTCACCTCTGTCCTCTCGCTACTGAGCCGAGATGTCAGTACTTGGGCCTTTTCTCTTAGGAGGCAGAAATTCCTACTAAGCTTTGGTTTTTTCTTCATATGACAATACACAAAATTGTAATTTCTGAGCTACAGTTGACACACACTTCCTACACTACCTATAGGGCTGACAATGGCGAAGGGAGGAAATGAGTCCTGGAAACCCCAAAGAAGATTATACTTACGACCCAAATTTAAGGAATTCTTTCCATACCTGCCAGGTTTTCTGTCAGCATTTGAAAACTATTCCAACAGTGGAAGTACCATCTGTGTGAGCTAAGGTGTGAGTTCCCACTGCAGTTTCCCTGTCTTTTAAACGGGAAGAGCGATGTAGGTGGCCCTATTTCTGGATTGCTGCATATGTGAATACTGGAAGGCAGGCACGGAGCAAATGCTGTTCTGACATCAGTCCCTCTGTCCTCTGTCATAGGAGTTTCAGACCCAGGAGAGAAGAATGGGCTTGAGCAAAACCTGCTCGTCAGCATGGCCAGGGGGTTGCGGTTCTTATTTTCAGGTTCTGAGAGCCTGGCTCAATACTGTATCAATAATACATGACCTGGGCCTTCTGCACCCAAGGCCTGCTAATTGGCTAATTAAAAAGTGAAACTCGTCGAACGAGCAAGCATGTAGCCCACCAGGGAGCTGTTCAGTACTGGAGCCAAGGTCAAACTTAGAGCTAAAGCTGTTTTATCAAACTGACCTTTGTGAGTGGAGCATGGAGGGAGTCTCCGGAGCAGCCGAGGCATCTGCAGCCCTTGTCTTCTTGGTGTCTTTGGATCTCTCTGATCGTACCAGGGCTTGGATTTGACAGGCGCTTTGTGTATCGATCACTGTATTAGTTTCTTATTACTGCTCCAACAAGTTACCACAAACTTAGCGGCCAAAACAACACAAATGTGTTATCTTACAATTCTGTAGGTTAGTCCAAAATCAGCCTCACTGGGCTGAAAGTAAAGGCATTGGCAGGTCTGTTTCCGTCTGAAGGCTCTAGGAGAGAATCCATTTCCTTGCCCTTGCCAGCTTCTAGAGGTTGCCCCATTCCTTGGCTCCTGGACCCTTCCTCCATCTTCAGAGCTAGCAATGCAGCTTCTCTGTCTCTGCCTCCATGTCTTCCTCTGACCCTCTCTTCTACTTTTAAGGACACTAGTGATTATATTGGGCCCATCTGTATAATCCAGGATAACCTCCCCACCTCAAAGTCAGTTCATTAGCACCCTTAATTCCCCTTGGCCATGTAATCTAACATATTAATAAATTTCAGAGATTAGAATGTGGGCATCTTACTTTTTTTTTTTTTTTGGAGGGGGAAGCATTATTCCATGTACCACAATTGCCTTTTAGATATTTTGGATTCTCTTCTAGGTTCTGGGTTCTTAAATCTTCTGGAAGCTATGAAGTCACCCAGTCACTTGGTTTGCGTTGCTGCTCCATTGTTGTTATTGTTGTTAGGTGCCTTCGAGTAGGTTCCGACTCACGGTGACCTTATGTACAGCAGAATGAAACACTGCGCTGTCCTGCGCCATCTTCGTGATGCTTGTCATGCTCGAGCCCATTGTTGCGGCCACTGTCGGTCCATCTCGTTGAGGGTCTGCCTCTTTTTCACTCACCCTTCGCTTCAGCAAGCGTAATGTCCTTACTTCTAAGGAGCATTCTGGCTGTACTTCTTCCAGGACAGAGTTGTTTGTTCTTTCGGCAGTCCACGGGATATTCTTTCCTGCTCAGATGTGAGCACCACCATTTGGACCTGGGGAGAGTGCAGCTCTGAAAGTGTACAGTAGGGAAGTGGTAGAGCTACCACCAGTTGTAGGTTTTTGTCAGCAAAGGCCAACAGCATTGGGTCTCAAGTAGGACTGATTGCCAGGGAGCCACCTGTGTGGTTTGAGGCAAGTGACCCATCCTCTCCATGTTTTAGCATCTCAGGTAAATGGCCCTTTTCCCTAGAATGCTGGGTAATGAATGTTAGGGTTCAGAACTCTTCTGGTGAAAGCTTCAGAGGGCAACCTTTTCATTTTGAAAATGAACCCTCCTGATTGGCAGTGGATTGATGATTTTGGGGGCTGGGTCTTGGGTAGAAGGGGGCTTATTATACTATCATATTTTTATGTATGTTAGAAATTCTTCATAATAAAAAGTTAATAACAACAACAAAATGAGCCTTTGCAGGACCAAACAAGCTTCTCACTCACACTTTCAAATAACTGATTTCAGAACTTTTGTGTCCTGAATTCATTCAGGAACCTCAAAGTGTTCAAGAACCTCCTAAATTAAGCCATTTGTTCCCTGTGTCTCATTAGTCCTTCCTTTACCTTGTATCTCCCGCTTGGGGAGTTGAGAAAAAGATTCTTTCCTGTCCATTTACAGAGGAGGGTCAGGGCAGGATGTTACAGGAAGTTAGAAATACGAACAAACTCGTGGTCCATTCATCACAGAGTTCAGAGTAGCACAGCCAGGGTGCTGGAGTGATAGTAACTTCACTTGGATGTTTTCTTTCTCCAGATTGTGGACGCCTTTTTCATTGGCCGCTATGTCCTGCTGGCTTTCCTCAGTGCTGTCTTTCTTGGAGGACTCTTCTTGGTTCTAATTCATCATCTCCTGGAGCCCATCTATGCCAAACCACTCCGGTCCTCCTGATCACTGTTCAAGAAAACTGAGACCCTGTCCTCTCCATTTCGATGTCATTGATAAGCAGCAAGGCACTCTTCAGAACCTTATTTTGACAGCCTTCGTGCCTGAAGGTCTGAGGATCTCCATGATCACTCTGATGAATCCCTTGAGTCCTGGGTTCCAGAATTCTTCCTGTGGGGATAAATTCTCACCAGCTTAAGAAGCAATGGTGCTGTCTTCTTACCACCAGTACCACCTGTTTTGAAAGGGAAATAGTAGCAGTGATCTGCTTAGAGTAGATTTTCAATCAGGATGCTAGTAAGTGGATTTTGGGAAAAGGAGCATTTTGGCTTCTGTTGTCAAATATGCAGAAGAACCTGACCCTTTTGGATAATGTGTACAATTCCATATTGAATGTATTGGTGTATTGAAATGATCAGAAGAACATTTGGAAAGGAAAGGTGCTCAAAGTTCAAAGGTTATTTTAATATGACAATTTGGAAAACTTATTTAGATGTTGGTTGTTGGCTACTCTGTGCATATTAGTCCACAGAACTCTAAAGGCATGGGGGTCTCACTTCCTTTGGTCCTATTCCTGGGCTGACCGTCACTTAAAACTCCTGGCCACAGCTTTCGGAATCTACATTTCAAGTTTGCTTGGGGAATTAAAGGAAACGTGTGGAAATGTTGGGTTTTTTGTCTTACTGCTCTGTACTTTCAGGGTTCTTTTCCTTCTGGGAGTTGATGACCTCTGTGTATATTACTGAGTTACTGTAAGAGTCCATTCTGAGTTACTGTCATCTCTCTTCATCTTGGTGGCCCTTTCTCCAAAGCTGGTGAGGAATGTATCTTCTCAGGACTAAATGTAACCTTACAGCTGCCTGAGAGCCCAGACCAAGTGAGGCTTGTTATTAAGCAGAGGAGCTCTGGGCTGGTTCTGCTTTGGAAGTCTCATCCCGACTCCCTGAGCTAGTCAAAGAGGAGTTTTCTGGCCTAAAATTAAGAACTAGAGAACAGTTTGGAAAGAGAACGTTGATTGAGCACGTGCTATATGCCAGTAGAACACTAGTTGCTTTGAAGTTTATTTAATTCTTCCAACCACCGATTTATCATCATCCCCATCTTAGCGTAGAAAAAACTGAGGCTTAAAGAGATTAAATCACCCAAGCTTCACATAACTGCAAAACATGTGCAAACCCAGGTTTGGCAGACTCCAAAACCTGTCTAGGACTAGAAAGAAAACAGACTACTTTTTTTTTTTTGTGGAACTTTGAGAGTTTCGGGAAGACTACAACCATTTGTCTTTAACTTTCTCTCCTGTCTCCCTGTCAGTGCAGGAGGTAAGCACTAAAAGCAAACCAGGAGAGAACTGTTGACTTTCCAGAGTCAACGGCTGGTGAGAGTCAGGTATGGTTAGCCCTACACTTGAACTAGCTCTTTCTCTATCTTATTCAGTTTGGAAAAACTTCGCAGATAAGGCTTTATCACAGAAAGCTTTAAAGGAATTTCTTCATCTGGCCGGGGCGCATAGGGAAGAAGGAAGAAGGCTCCCTCCAAGCAGAGTAGAGGACAGAGAGGAGCATGCAGGAATTCTGAGGGAAGAGGGGCTCACTGGGGGACTTCACGCTGCCCTGCTCCCCTCTGGACCCTTCTGCTGAGCTTCCAGTGATCTGCATCCCTGGGCAGAGGTGCTGACCAGCCAGGGTGGACAAGCACCGCCTGCCTGCCATTTATCATCTCCTGGGAGACTTCTTGCTGAAAAGCACATCTGGGAAAACCTTTGTAGGTTACTGACCACATATCTTTTTTATGCCCCCAAAAAGGTGTCCAGCTTACAGCCATGAAGGTTTGCGGGACGATTTTCATGGAGAAAAGCGTGCTAAGGTTGAAACCAAATTCCTTTGCAAACACCAGCACTATCATCTAATGTTTTTTACACACGTGAATGACAAATTTGTGTGTCAAGGGCTAGCTTTTGGCAAAAAATGTACTTTGTGGGATGTAGAACAAAATTCAAACACAAAAATAGACCAGATTTACTGGCCTGACAGAGACTGGAGAAACCCCGAGAGTATAGCCCCCGGACACCCTTTTAGCTCAGGGGTGAAGTCACTCCCGACGTTCACCATTCAGCTGGGGATTGGACAGCCCCATAAAACAAAACGGGACTAATGAGGCACAGCAGTCCAGGGACAAGGGCTAGAAGGCAGAAGGGGACAGGAAGGCTGGTGATAGGGAACCCAAGGTTGAGTGAAGACAGTGTTGACAGGTAGTGGGGTCCTTAACCTTTGCCATAGGGCGATATGTGTACTAACTGTTTAATGAGAAACTATTTTGTTCTGTAAACCTTCATCTAAAGTGAGAATAGCAGCACAACTGGAAGAACGTAATCGACATCACTGAATTGTACATGTAGAAATTTTTGCAATGGTACATCTTTGGCTATGTATATTTTCACCAAAAAAAGAAAAAAATGGTCCTCTAAGGTCTAGAAGGGAGAGTGTTGACATGTCGTGGGGCTGTTAACCAATGTCATAAAACAGTATTTGTACTGACTGTTTAATGAGAAACTATTTGTTCTGTAAACCTTCACCTAAAGCACGATAAAAAAAAAAAAATTTGAAAAAAAGTACTATGTGTACAGTGTATTTCACTGTGTAAATGTAAATGAATGATAAGATTACTGTCTACCTGCATACTCAAAGCGGTCATACCCAGCCCTGAAAAACACCCTGGGGGTTGGGGTAAGACGCGGAATGCTGTGAGGGCACAGAATGAGTTTCACCGTGAGTTCTCCGTGCCCCCTCTGGAACGATGTCTGATCTGAAGCCGCCGATGCTCGCAGCCCTCCTGGAGGTGATCCCTTAAATACAAGCAAACCATCCTGGTGTCCCATTACTCAGTCCCTGGTTGTGCCTCCCCGGTCCCTACCCAGAGGGGACCCCAGGCAAAGAGACTGTGGTGATCCCGTTTAGATGGTGGAGAAGGAGAGTAGGGTCGCCATGAGTCGGAACCGACTCGATGGCATCTAATGACAATGTATGGCAAAATAGCTTATTTCATAGCCTTTTAAAAACTGTCCTGACAAAAGCTAAACGAGCAGGCTACTTACTTCCCCAGCCGCACAAGAGACACTTGTCTGATCAGTTAGGCGGCGCTCTGTTCCGTTTTAGAAGTTTCTCAAGCCAGCAAAATACTGCCTGTGGTCCTGACCTTACTCACTGGGTGATTTTGACACGTTTCCTCAGTTTCTCAGCATAAAATAGAAGTAAAGCTAACATTCTTTATTGATGCCTGGTATTAGATCTTTCATCTAAAACTGTACCGGAGTTATTATATCAATATTCAAGTACCATCCCTGGTCCCTGCATGCGTAGCCACTCCCTCATTCATGCCCACAGCCATTCATTCAACGTGAATTGTGTGCCTATTGGGTACCAAGCGCTGTTGCTGCCGGTGTAACCCCGGCTCTAGGCTCTGAGGTGCCTAGGCCATCCCCTAACTCCCTGCCAAGATGAAAGCATCCAAATTATTTTTCAGTGTTTTTATTCTAACATAAAGTAATCCATTTCTCCTGCTGTTCTTTAAGACATAAACTCCATCAACTCGATTTCATCGTTGTTGGGGTTGAAGCATTTTTGTTTTGGTTTTGTGTTCAGTGTGTGAAGAAACCTGCTCGATTTTCATACAGATGAGAAGACAGGCCGAGGGAGGGAAGGAATTTAAAGGTTCATAGCTCGTTAGCGGGAGGGCTGAAACGTGACGTCAGGACTCCTGACTTCTCATTCCGCAGACAGTCTAAAGATCATTTCAGCGTTCAGACAGCTCCTTATTTTTACATTGGTTAATAGTGTGCCTTATACCGTCTCCATAACCTGTTTTCAAAGAGGTAAAAGTTTTATTAAAGAATTCTAATGAGCATGTACTCTACAAATAACATTTTATCATAACTTCTTGGTATAAGCCTTTACGTATTGGGCTATTGTTACATAGGAGCCAATTTCCAGATGTGGGAATGGGGATTGTAAGGAAAGAAATCTGGTAAAGTGTTAATTATCCTCATTAAAAAAAAAAGTCCATTCCAGTCGAGTCAATTCCGACTCATAGCCACAGGAGCATAAAAAACTCACGATTGAAAGGGAACCTATAGTCATAGAGTTCAATCTTTAATCTCTGTTCCCATACCAGAAGTTGGAAATAAGTCTATTCTTCATGTCCTGAAATCACAATTTTTATTATAATAGTAAACACGTGCTCGTCATTTTTCTAAGTGCTTTGTATTAACTTACGTAATCCTCCTACTGACCCGGTGCTGTAGGTGCTATTAATATCCTCATTTCACAGATGGGGACAGGCAGACTGGTGAGGTGACTTGCTGGAGATCACTAGGTAGGTCACAGTCAGGACATGAAGTCAGGCGGTTTGGCTCTAGAGTTTAAGCTCAGGAGGGACTGAGGTTTGGTGGTGCAAATCTTCTTGATGGAAATACCAAGGAGAGTCAGCTGAGTCTAGAGGAAAATCCAGAATCTTACAGACTAGGCAGGTCTAAAGCAAACCAGTTAAGCTTCATGGGACCTCAGAGACAATTTCATCAATCAACCCTGTTTTTGGAGGGTGTCTGCTCGATTTCACCCATGTCTCTGGGTGGCACAAATGGTTTGCACTCGGCTACCAACCTAAAGGTTGATGGTTCGAACCCACCCAGGGGCACTACAGAAGAAAAAGGCCTAGCAATCTGCTTCTGTAAAGATTACAGCCAAGAAAACCCTATGGAGTTCTACTCTGTACCACACGGGATTGCCGTGTTGCTTAGAGATCCAGTCGGGCAGCTAGTAGCTGGAGTTTTCAAGACATACACAGCGATCTCCCCTTTAGGCACCATCCGCCTGGAATCTTGATGCTTGGGTTGGTTTTCAGAGGACCCCTGGTGGTGTAGTGGTTAAGAGCTCAGCTGCTAACCAAAAGGTCGGCAGTTCAAATTCGCCAGCTGCTCCTTGGAAACCCTATGGGGCAGTTCTACTCTGTCCTATAGGGTCGCTGAGTCGGGATTGACTTGATGGCAAGGGTTTGTTTTTTTGGGGGGTATGGAAGAATCCTAGCCCCAGCCCAACAAGGTTTTCTCCTTCATCCCTGTCTCCAGCAGATCACTGGTGGTAGGAGTAGGATGCTGTTTTTTTCAGGGGAAAAAATGTTTCCAAGTCTCCCCCACCCCCAAACACATACTCTCTCGCCTGTTTCCTGGGACTTAGGAAATGACAGCGGGAGTCTAAGGGCCCCTCAACCCTGCTGATGGAGGAGCACGTTCACCTCTGCGGCTGCCTCCAATCCCGCTGGCTGTCGTAAGGGACGTGCATTCAGTTAGCCCAGACCGGCCCTCAGAGAACTCGCTGGGGCCGTTACACGGGTAGCATTCATGCTATACCTCAACGCTGCAAGGCCATCCCCTCCACTTTTTTTTAATTTAGAGGGGTTTCTTTTGTTTTCCTGCGTTCCTCTCCCGTCTTCAAATTGATCGTCCCCCAGTCCACAGTGGGAATATGTGTTGGTTTCCTACAACTGCTGTAACAAATCACCACAAACCTAGTGGCTTAGAACAACACAGATTTATTATTTTACAGTTTTGGAGGTCAGAAGTCTGAAGCGGCTTCACAGGCCTAACATCAAGGCTTTGGAGGCTCTGGGGACAGTCCCTGTGCTTGCCTTTTCCAGCTTCTGGAGCCTGCCCACATTCCTGGGTTCGAGGCCTCTTCCTCTGTCTTCAAAGCCAGCAGTGCGGCACCTTCAAATCTGACACTCCTGCTTCCGTTTCATTTGTAAGGAGCATTGTGACTACACTGGGCGCACCCTGATAACCCAGGATCACGTGCCCATCTCGAAATCCTTAATCACATTTGCAGAGGTTCCAGGAATTAGGGCGTGGACATCTTCGGGGGCCGTTATTCTGCCTGCCATGAAATATCTGGCCCATCCCTCCAACTCTAAAGGTCACGCCCTTCTACCTTCCATCCACTCCCTACCCCACCCCTTGATGTACAGACCTGCCCTTGTCTCCAGGACCAGTCCCCAATGCGCAGGGTCCCCCCATGCTGTGTGAGGAATCTCCCTCCCCAGTCCTCCCTTAGTCGTGGCCTCAGAATGCTGAGGCCCATCAACGGCTTCTCTTTCTTTTCATTGCTTCTTCCTGCCCCCCACACTAGCCCAGCCTCCCAGTGGGTCTCTAAAGGGGAAATGCAAAGAGTTATTGCTTTTTAATTACAAGAGCTATTGTAGCATCTATAAGGAAGAACACTTTAGGCTTAATTGAGACCAAATGTGAAGTTAAATTAAGTGAATAACTAATTAATGTAACGCTCCTGCATTAGCCCCGTGTGAGTGCTGAGGCCCAGAGAGAAGGCAGGTACCAGGCCCCTGTGACCAGTCAGCGCCCAGGGCTGAGGTAGGACAGCAGCCTGGGAGATAAGTGCAATAGGGCAGATCTCAGGACTGGGGTTCCCCCAACCTTTCCCACCTATGGCCCAAGTCCTCATTTCTGAGGTCAAGCTCTAAGCTCCCACAGTGCCCTTTGCATCTCTCTGGCACCACATGTATCCGCTGGTATAAGTGGATATGTCTCATTCATTTTCCAGTCCCTAATGGCTAACATATGAGGGGCTTCACAAGTATTCAGTTTAGCCACTTTCTTCCACTTCCCCTCACCACCTGATCACCCAAGTCCTAATAATTCTTCCTTCATAAGCCTTCCACATGTATTTGTCCCTTTGCCCCTCGGCTCCCCCTCCCTCCAGCCCGTCCCTTCATAGCTGGACCAACAAATGGTGCCGCCTCTCAACCTGGGTCATTAGCTATCTGTATTGTTGCCTGTATTGTTTTAAAATGTTTTCATATCCCTGTCTTCTCCCCCTAACTAGGCAAGCTCCCCACGGGCAGGGACACATTTAACGCTCACTCTTTTCCTGTCACACCGATCCTATGAGGTAGGTGACGTTACCACCGTCTTCCAGATGAGGAAACAACTTAAAGCTTGTTCGTGGTAACGCAGGGGAAGAGAAGATATCAAAGAACCAAAGAAGGAACAGTCTCCATCCCTCCCACCCTGACCGACCTCTGTCTGCAACAGAGAGCTGAAAGTTGCAGGGAAAGAAACCTCTCCTCAGCCCACTCCCAGGAAGCGGACGGGAGCATAGGCCCACACTGGGCTCTACCGTGGGATTATGTCACCATCTAGTGGCTCCTGCCGGTGACACAGCTTCTCCTGAGCTAGTCCCACCCAAGTGAGGGTATCAGACCAACCTTTGTGGTCTTGAGAGAAGCCTTCATGAGAGCTGAACACAACACCACATACTGTGGCTCCTAGCCCTGTGGGCTCTGAGGGCTTAGTGCGTATCAGAAACACGAGACCAACCTATTTGTTATCATCAGAGTGTGTACGACTCATTTCACTGTTGAGGGATTTGTATCCAGCTCACACACTGGCCAACAAAGTGTCTGGTTAATGTAATGGTTGTATCTTGTGTGGGGCTCTGAGCTCCTAGTTGGCTCCACACGTCCTCCATGTCACCAGCATGCCCACCAAAAACCAGCCCTGGCACACCAGCGCCACGGTCCTGGGCCGTCACTTCCAGGACCCACATGAACCCAGCTAGCAGGCACCGTGCCATGCCCCCACATGAAGCCGCAGATGCACAGCTGGTACAAGGACAGCTGTAGTGTGCTGACAGGCAGCTTGAAGGGTCAGGGGTGATGCCAAGAGCCAGCTGGGCAGGGAGCAGCCCAGGTTTGGGGGTGTAAGCAGTAAGTACTTTCAGAGTAAGTACATCAGGCACACGGAGTAGAAAACAGGGCTCACAGATAGCTCCAAGCAAGTGCCCACAGAACGGCTGCCTGGATGAAGCAGACAGTTCTCGTGACTTGCCAGTCTCGTCATCCTGGCTCCTAGAGCAGAGCTGGCACCCAGCGGGCACTATCAGAGTACTCACTCACACGCTGGCACTTCGAGCCTGACTCTGCCCCGTCCCCCACCACAGCGCTGGCCCCAGAGGGTGAGGCGAGGGAGGACTCACCGTCGGGGTCGGGCAGGCGTGGGGTGAGCACGGGCACAAGCCTGAGGGTGAGGACCGCGCCACCTGTTGTTCACCCTATTCCCGACCCTGAAGGATACGGCAGTAACACTTTAATCAAAACGGGGAAGGAAGTTATAAATAGGATCCAGTGGAGGGTTGAAGAAGAGAGTCCGACTTGGGGAAATACAAAGAGAAGCCTGGTTCAGGGACAAAGGGACATATGGAGGCCAGATGTCTCCAACCCGCCTGTCACTAAAGGGACAGGTTGGCTCTAAGAGGTTCAAAGTGAACATGGGAAGAAGACATCCACCTTTTCCAGTCCTTGGCCCCACAGAACCTCTGCCTTCCGTCTTAGAAGCTGAGGAAGCAAGAGCTTGAGCAAGATGGAGATGGTACTCATCTGAGCCCCATCCCTTCTGCTGGCAGCTCCCAGAGAGCAGGGCCTTCTCAGCTTGCGTTTCCTCATGCTTGGCAGCCCCCTTCCCACGGAGAAGCTCCTAAACTCTGAGGAGCTGCTGGGCTGCGCTGCCCAGCCTAGCTGGTATCGGGTCAAGAGACTTTGCCTCACCCATCTGTAGAAGTGTCCGTTGTCTCTCTCCCATGGGGAGCACTTTGGGGACCTGAGGGGGGTCCTCCATGCTTCTCTTCCAGTAGGGGCTTCAGATTTCTCTATACCTGCACGGGGAGGAGGGAGACAGTAGAAGAGAAAATGAGAGAGACTGAGGTTATGAGCTGGAATGATGGGGAAGGCAGAGTCCCGGGTCCTTACTAACTGCCCTTCATCTCTGCCCTCTGTAACTGGGGCTCCTTTCCCCTCTTGACAGGGAACAGCAGCTAGAGCAACATTAACCTTATGATGTTTATATGACACTTGGCAGCTGTAAAAGCAATATCACATATCCCTTCTCATCTCAGCCTCAGCTCAACCCTGCCAGGGACTTAGGGATAAGTAGCCCCATTTTACCCATAAAGATGTGGAGGTTCAGAGACACGATTTATAGGTGAGAGTGAGCAGAGAAGTCAGGATAGTCTGGGGATGTTGGGTGCCAAGCCCAGCGCTCTCTCTTGTCTCGCCTTTGACTCCCATTCAGTGGCCTTTCCCCGGAGAAGGACGAGCTTAGGACGGCAGCAGTACAGGGAACAGCAAATAACCCCACACACACCTGGGCTCAAATTTAGGTTCCGCCATGACTAGCTAAAGGTCTTAGCATATTCCATGATTTCTGAGCTTTAGTTCTCTCATTTCTAAGCTACAATATCTACCTTTTAGGGTTGCTTAAAGGCAAGCGTATCTATCCTAAGTCTGACTGGATTCCAGGCAGACTAGTTGCTGCCTAAATGTTTGTTCTTTCCCACTTTCTGCTTCTTTTTTCCCCCCAGTGGCCCCTCAGCCCTGGCCCAGAGGAGCAGGGTGGAAGGAACACAGTCACACTGCTCCAACCTCCTGCCCCTCTCCAGGGCAGGCCAGGTAGGCATGCGTATGCCCCCCGCTCTCAGTTTCTCTCCTGCGAGCCTGGATGGTGCCGTCCTTAAAGGAAAGTGCTTCCCAGATAGCACGTTGGTCACCACGACCCCAGGAGGTTCACCCTCTCATTTCCTATCAAGCCCAGGTCCACTGCTCCAGCCACTTCCTCATTAGCAGAGGCTCCTACTTAGAAGGAGGGCCAGAAAGGCCACCGAAAGAGGGTTTTCCAACCACCAGCTCCGGCACACAGCCCCTGCCTCAGCACTGAGCCGTCGTCCCACCTCTACGCCCCCACCACCCCTGAACCCAGAGCAGAGAGCACACCAGGCTGGGGACCGTCACTTGATTAGAATTTGTTTCAGAGGCTTTGATTAGTATTCACTTTTTCCTGCATACCCCAAGCAGAGGGGGCAGATGACCTTGGTTTCTGAACTCTAGGAGGCGTGTGCACCTCAGGGTCTGAGTTCAGAGGGAAGACCGTTTCCCTCGCCTCTGCCTCCTCTGTCCTGGGAGGACCGAGCCCTGACGCTCTCCCTAAGGGGGGAGGCTGCCAACCTCTGTGGCATCTCAGACCCCTCGGGGAACTTCCCAAGCACCATGCTCTGCTCAGGTGGAGGGTCCTCAGAAGTGACCACCAAGAAAAAGAAAGCTGGAGAAATCACACGAGAGGACAGATTTGCATGCAGGCTCCATTCGAATGAGATATTAGCCGTGGACTTGACACAAATACTTACAAAAGTCAGGGGACTTGAGGAAAATATTACCGCGGGTGGGTTAGGGCCATACTAGAGCTACGGAGACACACAGGGGACAATGGAGGATGCAGGTTAGTGGGGCCGAAGCGGGGGCAGACAGCACGCCCAGGGCCTGGCTCAGCTCCCCGCCCTCGGGGCTGGCACGCCTCAGGATGGGCTTGGGGACACTGAGCATTGGACTCCCACAGGAAGCAAGGGTGGGAGAGGTGGGGCTTTAGCCATCTGGGGGACTCACCCTCTACCACTGCTCAGGGACGTCTTCCAGGCCAGGATCTCTTTGTACACCAACCGGCAGAGGAACTGTGGGGAGGACAAGGAGACCCTAGCACCCAGCACACGATCCCCAATGCCAGGTGACCGACCGAGCGGCAGCTGGGAAAGGGGTGGGCACACAGGTTCACTTGGCAGGGCGTCCCCCATGGGAGGGAAGGTGTTCTGAGCAAAGAGCAGCTGCTCTCCTCGTCCCGGAACCCCCATGACAATGCTCTGGCCCTCTGGGGTTCCAGCCCCCAGCACCCATCTGGGTACCTCAAGAACTCTTACCAAGCAGGCCAGGATGTCGGCCGAGATGAGCATGTAGAAGACATTGTTCCAGCCTGTGGGGGAAATGAGCCCGGCCAGCAGAGGCCCCAGGGCGGCACCTGTGTGGGGCACAACCACAAGATGGGTCAAACAAGGACCACAGGAGAGAGTCATCCCAGGCCAGGCTCAGGCTCGGCTCCCAGGAGCCACGCACCAGTCACGGACCTACGGAGCCGGTACCGTCAATGATGGCGGAGACGGTGGAGAGCGCCTTGGCATTGCCCTTCAGGCTCTGATGAGTGCCCTGGGGGGAGGAGAGGAGGAGGCTGAGCGGAGCCCTGGCAGGACCGGGACTGGACGGGGGCAGACTGTGGGAAGGGGATCACTGGGGCTTGGGGTTGAGAGGGAAACGAGGCCAGAGGTGGATGCTGAAGGACTTTGTGGATCTTACCTCTGCAGGCTGCCCCGCAGAGAATGAGGACAAGAGCAGGAAAGGGGAAAAGATGCCAGGAAAACGGGCCTGAAGACAGCAGCCCTGACCTCCACCCCCCACCCCGGGAGGTGGCCCAGCTCACCAGGTCAGCCGAGACCGCGGTGGTGATGAGTGCATATGGGCCGTTGACCAGGGCCCCACAGATGATCAGCATGACTGGACAGAGACAGTCCAGTTATCATGAGAGGCCACCACGGGTCCACCCCAGAGCAGACGAGCATTCCCAGGCATCGGGCTGGAGAGCCTCTGCTTCCCAGCCTCTCCCCCAATGACCCCAACCCCACCTCAGAGGGCCACGGAGCCTCAAAGGGTGGAGGCAAGGAGCGCCCTTCCTGTGGCCTGGCAGAACCTGACAGAACCTGAAGCCGTCTCCTCACCTATGGAGCTGGTCATCCCGCTCTGGCCACTGTAGTTGTACAGGAACATCTGGGAGGAGGGAATGGACAGGCTGTCACAGCGGGCTCTGCCAGGGGCCGCCCTTAGACTGTGGCAGAAGTCTGCAACCACAGAGGCCACGTTATTCCTTTTCCTCTCATACCCAGACCCCTCGGGTCTTCAAGTGTCCCAAGAATGGAGGATCTAAGATGCGGTCATCTATTGTTCTTCTTTTTCCCAAACGTCTTCTCTCACGCATAACCTCAATCACTTATTCTTTCCCTGGTCAAGGAGATTGGCAGCTGGTCTCCCTCTGCTCCACCAAAGCCAAAGTCACTCATCCCTTTCCAAAACTGTCTGGCTCTGTTCCCCAGGCGCCTGCCCGCTACTGACCCCTCACTTCTCCTTGTCCCTGAGGTGTGTCCACGCCTAGGGGCGCACACAGCTGAGGCCCACAGGCACACGCTCGCTCGCGCGCTCGCACACGTGGTCCTGAAGGGTGTACGCACCATGGGGGCAGCCAGGATGAGCATGATGCAGCAGGTGGTGGCCCTGCCACTGGTGTAGTCAGAGATGAGCCCGGCCAGGATGCCGCCTGGAACACACACCCCATTTGCACACTGCCACCCCGGGTGGGCCTGCAGCCCTCCCACTCGCTGCACACCCCAAGCTTGGCCCCGTCACCCTGTCCAGCACCAGCGGGGCCCGGGCATCACGATCCAGCAGAGCTTCTTTCCCCAGCCTGCCCCTCACGCCCATGGGAAGACCAGTGCGCAAGGGCCACTGTCTTAGGGCCACTCAGCCAGGCAAGGGCAGAATTGAGAACAAAGCCAGAAACCCTTTTCTCCCTGACGCTACCTGCCCAGGTGAGCCCCGTTGGGCCCATCCCTTTTTTCTGCACCCTACAACAGTAGAGGGGGATGCACAGATACCGGCAGAGCAGGACAAAGGCTCACCTATGATGCCACCAACATCGAAGAGTGTCGAGAGGTCCCCAGCCTCCTTGGCGTCAAAGTGAGCTGTGGAGAACAGACTGCAGTCAGACCTGGGGCTGGGGCCAACATCCCGGCCTGCCACAGCCAGAAGGCTCCCTTCAAAGCATTTAATGCAGTCCCGCCCCTCCTTTCAGAGGGCAGCAGAGAGGCCCAGAGGAGAAGCAGCTGGCTCAGGGTCATGCACTGAGATCTGTGGGAGCTTAGGACCAGAGCCCGGCTCCCCATCCGGCACTGCCTCCTTCCCTGCAGGATGACCTTGGCCTGGAATAGCCTTTCCCTGTGGAGTGTGGGCCCTAGCCCCTGAGAACACAGCCCCACTGGCCGTCTTTCCCACTAACCTCCCCCGTCCCGAGCCCTATACCAGCCGCTCTGCCCGCTGTGCTCCTGAGCCAGCAGCAGCCCCCCACCACCATGAGGTCTTCACATCCATTTTAGGTCTCTGCCCATGAACAGAGACGGAAGGAGACGAGAAGGAAAACAGGGACTTCAGGTTCCAGGCCTTGGTTTTAGATTAAGAAAAAAAAAGACTGTCCAGAAGCTGGAATTATAGCCCAGCCCCCAAGGTTGATTCATACTCTGAAGTCAGCAGCAAGGCCACAAAACAGACTCCCGGTGACCAGGACCCACCTGGCACTCTGCCACTATCTGAGAGGCCCCTCAGACACAGCTGTGGAACAAGTCACAGCTTGAGCTGTGGTCATGACTAATCGCCACAGCTTCCTGTTCAGAACAAGCAGTGTGCGACGCAGCCTGTCCCTCCCACAGCCCTGGATGTGAAGTCTTTAAGCCTGAGGCTTGGGGGACTGGAGGTAGGGGAGGGGGCTGCTCCTTGGTAGAGCTGCCCCACCTCTGGAAAAGCAGAGCCCCAAGCCAGCTGCACATTAAACATCCTCTGTCAGCCACAAGAGTGAACTCTCCTCATCCGTGCACCCTGGGGCTGGCACGGAGGCAGCCAAGGGGAGATGCACAGGGAGGACACCCAGCCCTGTTCAGCGGACCAGGCTCGCAGGAACCAGTCCCCCTGGGGCTCCCTGCAGCCCCCTGGGAGAAGACAGCCGTGGTCACAGCTGGGCTACTGGGAGCGGGGTAGCTCAAAGGCTCAAGGGGCTTCTGGAGGTATTCACAGAGCAAACCTTTTCTAGCACCCGATCCTAAAACCACCCATCTATGAGCCGAGAGCCTACAGGTGCGTTTCTCCCAGACCAGGAGACAAGACTAAAGGCTAGAGAAGAGGACGGGGCGATTGCAGAACCGAGCACCCAGTTCCCAATCCCACTCACGCCCGGGGGAGTGCACAGGCTCTGTTGTCGTTAGCTGCTGTCAGGTCACCCCCGACTCACAGTGACCCCGTACACAGCAGAACAAAACACTGCACCACCCCTTCGATGGGTTACGGACTGGATCGTTGTGACCCATAGGGTTTGGATCACTGTGATTGCCAGGCCTTTCTTCCCAGTCTGTCTCAGCCTGGAAGCTCTGCTGAAAACCTGTTCCGCATCACAGCAACACGCAAGCCCCCACTGACGGACAGGCGGGGGCTGTGCATGAGGTACACTGGCTGGGAACTGAAGTCTCCCACGTGGAAGGCGAAATTTCTACTGGCTTAGGTTCCTATTTCAAAAATGTCCTTTGTAACTTGAAATGTAAACTTTCACTTAAACTGCAACAATAAACAAACCAAAAAAAGTCCTCTGCCCCTAGGAGAGGTTCCGCAGAAGTCCTGCGGTGTACTGGAGTCCCACGCAGCACCAAGGCCCTTCCTTGCCTCCCTATACTCACCCACGTTGAAGATGTAGAGGGGGAGCCAGTAGAGGAACGTGTAGCTGACCAGCTTGGCAAAGAGCAGGCACAAAGAGAACTCTATCACGCCCTGGGGAGAAACCAGAGGGCCCGATGGAAAGGGTGGCTCGGCACCACCCAGGAATGCCCATCGCCTACCACGCAAAGCAACCTGCAGTACACATCCAATCTAAATCAAAGCAAAGCATCTGCTACTCAAATGCAAGGCAAGCCTCCTTCAAGGCAAGCTTCCTAGACTACCTTCCCCAACCACTACCCACCCTGGGCACCTCCGGTAAGGAAATCCTGAAAACCACAGATCATCCTACTGCCCGTCCCTGCTGTCCAACAGAAGACTCGGGGGAGCCTCTCTGCCTTCCGCTCCCACGCTTCTCACCGGGATTCGGAGCGCCCCAAGGAAGCTGATGGCAGCAGGCTTGGCGCTCGGGTCCTTGGAGCATTTGGTGGCAGCGTCCAGGTGGCCCTCCCTGTCCGAGCAGGGGTCGTTGGCAGGGTCCTCGGGGTTGTCCTCATCCTCTCCCGGACTGCTCTGAGAAGGATGAGCCCTTGCAGTGGGGCACATCTGTGCACCACCTCCCCCCTGCTGGAGGGGCAGCCCGTGTGACAGAGGTGGGTCTCCTGCTGTAAGAGGGACATGGCTCTCTCCTGGGCTGGGCTGACCTCCGGCAGGCCCGTCGGGTTGTGGGGCAGCCAACCCAAGGACCTAACATTAGGCCTGTGCAGTGACTGTGGGGCCAGGGCTCCCTCCCAATCCCCCATCTCTCTCTGGGACCACCCCTTCTGGACGGAGCAAGAGGGCAAGGGAGAGCTGGGAGGGCTCACACTTACATGGTGCTGAGGAGGGGCACAGTCCACGTCTTCCGGGTCTGAAAGAAAACCTTTTAAGAAGCTTCCCAGCAGAGCAGGCCCTCACCCTTTCCTGGGTCTATGCCCGTCGGGAGAGCCAGCCCCCAGTGTGGCCGGCGTACTTCCCAGCATGAGGAAGCTAGGCACGGGGGTCAGGAAGCCAGGTTTCTAGGCCACGCTCTCCTCTTCTCTAATAACCTGTTCTACCAGCAGTGCCTCTGGGGCCTCGGTTTTCCTACCTACACAATGGGTAATTCCTAGCCTTGCTTCCACACAGCTGTCAGAGAATGCGGACGAGCTGTCCACCAAGTAAGAGATTCTGTGCTTTACGACTGTACCCTGGACCCCACCTCCCCCGCCTCTCACCTCTCAGACTCAGTGTTTGCCGAGCACTGCCTATGGACCGGGAGGTTTACCTGCATTGTCTCACTTAACCGTTAATCACACGAAGCAGGTAGATTACTCTTATCTTACAAATGAGAAAGCTGAGGGTCAGCGAGGTTAAGAGGTTTGTTCAAGTCACACAGCGAGCCCTCCAGCTCCATGACTGTGATCTCTCCACCCAGAAGCCAGGGAGAGGCCCTGGGAGGCTCAGCTCCAGGGTCTGCGGGGAGGGAGGGGCCCAGGAAGCGCATCTGCACTCACATTCTACGAGGAAGAGGAAGGTGAAGGCACCCATGGCCGCGGTAATGACACCAGGCACGACAAAGGACAGGCCCCACTGCTCGTTCACCCAGATGCCGGCAAGCAGGGAGCCCACGATGTTGCCCACAGATGTGTGGGAATTCCAGATGCCCATGATGAGCCCCCGCCTGGAGGGGAAGAAGGGAAGGAGACGGGAGAAGAGAGAAACGTCAGAGGAGGGAACGCAGTTCACAGCAACTGCCTCAGCCAAGCTGGAAGGGCTGGCTGCCTGCAGCTTCTCACGCACCAAAGCCTGCGACTCGTAAAGCCCCAAAGTGTGTCAGCCACGTCGGTGAGCAGAGACGCTTGGCTGGTGTCAACAGCTACAGCAAGGCTTGGGGTCCTGCTTCCGCCGCTCCGGTCCTCGCCCCCTCCCAGCAGGCAGCACACAAGCCTCCCAATGGAGGCACTCACTACACTCGGGGGCAAGGGACACCCCTTCCCCTTTCCTCTTCTGTCCACGGCTCTTACTCTAAGGCCGTGGTCCTCGCCTCGGGCCTGTGCTCTCCCCCAGGGGACATGTGGCCACATCTGGGGACATTTTTGATTGTCACACTGGGGGATGCCACTGCCGTCTCGTGGGTAGATGCTAGAGATGCTGCTAAATATCCTGCAACACCATGAAGAATCATCTGGCCCAACATGTCAGTGGTGCCGAGGCTGGGCAACCCTACTCCAAAGTGACATTTTTGCACAAAAGCCAGTTTAAGGAAAAGAAAAAACAAATTTTTTTTTTACGGGTTTCATTTTTGTCTTCATTCAAAATGACAATTCCTCTGTTGTGAGGACAAAGGATAAGGACGGTTGCCTAGAGGAAAACCCGACACTGAGAAAATGAGCCCAACTTTTTAACCCTAAAATGGCACCAAGACTGGGCACGTGAGAACCAGCAAGATGGAGGCAGCTTTCTAGTGTTTCACCTACGTTATACTGGGGGCCGGGGGTCACCTCCTGACTAGCCCCAGCCCTCCTGGGCTTCCCACTCCTCCTCCCATTTCACACTCACCTTCCCTTCCCAAACCAGTTGCCCACGCAGGTCACCACGGAGGGCCAGCCTGTGGTCTGGACGAGTCCATTACAGATCTACCAGCAGAAAGGAGGTGGGATGGGCGCCGGCTTGGGCCACGCCACCAGCTCCCTGCTCTGACCCCTGCTGGGCTGTGGAGGTTAGATACCCGTGTCGAGGGGCCCGCCACACCCCACACTACACACCTCACCCCTACCTCACACGCAGGTACACACACACCCCAATGTCACGAGCTGATTTCTCCAGCCCAACATCCTTGAGAGCAGACAGCAAGCCTCTCATCAGCTAAAGTGACCTTGGGGTGGGGCCCAGTTCAGACTTGCTGAGTGAACGCATGAATGCCAGGATTGGGAAGTGACAGAAGGCACTCTGGACTGGGAACCAAGAGCTCAAGTCCCAAATCTGCTATGACCTGGGGCAGGGGAGTAGTACTGACAGTCTCTAAGCCAGAGGGAAGACAAGACCATACCTGGATGAGCACAAAGTACCAGAGCATGTGGACGTTCCAGAAATAGCCCATGCCAAAGAGGGCGGTGAAAAGGCCACTGAGCAGCATTCCGGCCGACAGGTAATAACGGATGGGGAGCCGCTCCCCAAAAATCCCACTGCAGAGAGATGTGGATTTGCCATTAATCTCTGCTATCTCCACTCCTTACCTCTCTGCCATGTTGGTTCTTCCTCCACCACACAGCACAGAGCTTGGCTGGCCAAGGTGACCACGAGTGGCCTCTGTGTGGCCACATCTCATGGACAACCTCGGTCCCCCACTTCCCAGATGTCTCCGCTTCATTTGACGCTACTGGCCTCTCTCCTTGAAATGCTCTCTCCCCTGGCCTCCACGTCATCACTGATGCCTAGTGTCTCGTCCTATGCTAACCATCCCTTCTCACCACCCTCTGGGTAAGCCTATTTGATCACTTTCATGATTTTAACTACCACTACATATTCAATTCAGAAGGAAAGCCTAGTGATCGACCTCAGAAAAATCAACCATTGAAAACCCTATGGACCACCGTTCTACTCTGACACACAGGCCATGAGCCATGAGCCGAATTGACTCAGTGGTAACTGGGTTCTTTTCTCCCCGGATACATTAAATACCTGCAACTTTAGGTCTTTAATCCTCATCTCTCCCCAGAGCTTCAGGACCATATCCAAAAGCCTTCTGGGAATCCTTACTTGGATGCCCCCAAAACATTATAAATTCCACACTTCAACCTTGAGTTCCTCTTCTTCCTTCCCCCACCCAGCCCGCCTCCCTGAGTCCTTTATCTGAGTCTATGGCATTGCCATCCACCAACCACTCCAGCTGGAACCAGACAGCTACCTCAGCCTCCTCCTTCTCCCTCCAAGACCCATCCATTCTACTTCCTAAACATTCTTCCAGTGTGCCGGCTCTCTTCCATCTCTACCACTGCTGTTCTAACTCAAGCTCTCTTTGAAGCTCACCGGGCTAGTGCCACAGCTGTTCCTTAGTATGACAGGCCTCCAGTCCTGCCCTCCTCAAATCTATCTTCAACTTCACCCTCAGGGTCATCCACCTTAAACGTGAATTGGAACAGGATACCTCTGCATCAAACCCTTGGATAGCTCCCCCTACCCACAGCCCGGCACACGAGACCGTCTGTAAACAACCTCGGTCTTCAGGCCCATCTTCTGCCATGACCTCCCTCAAATTTTGCACTCTGGAGAACCTGTAATAGCTCTTCCCAGAGATCACACTGCTGTACATTTGCATAACTCTGTTCTACTCCTTTTGCCTGGCTTGTCATCTGCTGCTGCCAAGGCTGATTCTGCTTCTCAACTCAAGTATCATTTCCTCCATTATCATTTCACTAGCTAGTCCCTTCTCCCTAGTCCCAGCTTGGACTAAGTGACTGACTGAGCTCCCAGGGCACCCTACAGGCACCTCTGTCAAACAGCCACCACCCTGCTTTGTAGATGCTGCTTCCATTATCTACACGTCTGTCACCCCATTAGGCCAGGAACCCTCTGGAGGCAGCACCCTGCCTTACTGTCATGGTTTGAATTATGTCCCCCAAAAAATGTGTGTATCAGTTTGGCTAGGCCATGATTCCTGGTACTGTGTGATTCTCCTGTATGCTGTAAACCTGCCTCTATGATGTTAATGAGGGAGGATGGGTGGGAGTTGTGTTAGTAAGGCAGGACCTGATCTACAAGACTGGATTGTGTCCTAAGGCAATCTCTTGAGATATAAAAGAGAGAAGTGAGCAGTGAGACAGGGGGACCTCACACCATCAAGACAGTAGTGCCAGGAGCAAAGCGCGTCCTTTGGACAGGGGTCCCTGTGCCAAGAAGCTCTTACTCCGAGGGAACACTGATGAGAAGGCTGACAGAGAGAAAAAGCCTTCCCCTAGAGCTGACACCCTGAATTTGGACCTTCAGGCTACCTAACTGTGAAGAAATAAATTTCTCTTTGTTAAAGCCATCCACTTGTGGTATTTCTGTTATAGCAGCACTAGATGACTAAGACACTTACTCATCTGTGACCCCTGGCAATGAACACCATGCTTGCTATGCAGAATCTATGCTCGCTGCACCCATGTGGGCACAGGACAGGATGAGGTTCTCCTAGCTCTCTCTGCCCCTAGGATCATCCTCAAGGGATCCCAGCCGGGCATGAACTGTATCCCAGCCACACTCACCAACACTGCTATGTGGGTGAAGAAACTCAAAAGGAGCATCCAGGAAAAAGAGCTACTGAGAGTGGGGACGTGCCAGCTGAGGAGCAGCCCAGGGCCCATGCCACGGGGATAAAGATGGCTGCGGGCTGACTGGACACACAAGCCTTGGTCTCATTTCCATCTGAGGGGGCCATCAGCTTTTTCACCTCAACCCCCAACGCCCCGGTGGCCCAGGTTAGTCAAGGAGGGGCAGTAGCTCTGACCCTCTGACGCTGGGACGGCCCCAGGCTTGGCCTCTCTCATTACCTGATAAACATGCCGATGGCATAGGCCACAAGGAAGGCATTGTCCACCGCCCCCAGTAACTCCTTGTAGTTGTCCTTGTCTGAAAAGAGAGGGGAGAGAGAGAACACTGGCTGCCTGGCTGCGGGAAGCCGTTCCTGGCTCTAGACAACCCTTCCTAGAGAGTCAGAAAGGGGAGCTGGGGAAGAGCAACTGGCCTGTTCTTACCAAAGGGAGCCCAGCTGCACCACGTGGTGTCATTGATCGTATGGGTGTCATTGATGGGCTTGATCAGGTCAGAACAGTTCTGGTGCAAACGACTCTGGAGAGGCAACGGGATGCAAAGGCAGGAGTTACCTGATGGTATCTGAGCCCTTCAGCTCTGAGAGACGCAAGCAACCTCCTACCTGACCACACCAGGGCCACTGCCCACCCCCCTGACTCCCCACTTCTTCCTGCAGGAACTGAACACAGGGCAAAGTGGTCGTATCAGACCCGGTGGTGAAGGGCAACCAGAGACCATGAGCAGAATCCATACAGCCCAGGGCCCCTTCTCTCTTATTCCACCCACACCCACCAACACCCAGGGAAAACTTGCTGGGCAAAGAACTACTGGACGTGGGGATCTGTGAGGTGGGAGGAGCTATTTCAGTGACCGTGGTGAGGGGATGAGGATGGTTATGGCTGAGTTCCAGACCGTTCTACTAGAGGGTGTTCCTGCCGGGCCCAGCATCTCCTGCAACCGTCCTTGCCACCAGCCCAGCCTCACCTTGACGACACTGATGGGCTTCCTGGACATGTGGTAACAGGTATAAACGAGGAAGGTGAGCAGCAGGATGAAGCCTCGGAACCTGCAGGAAAAGGTGGGCATCTGGGTCAGCAGGAAGGCAGGCCAGGGTCCCATTGGTGCCCACACCAGCCGCCCGGAGACCTCAGCACCAGCTACTCTTTACCTTCAGGCCCCCTCTGGCAGAGACCAAGGGGAGGTGGAAACATATGCCCAGAGGCAGGGTATTCAAGAGGCCCTAACTCCCTGGTCCCAACCCCAGAGGGCCCAGCACCCTGCATGAAAGTACCTCACCCTGCTCTCGCTACCTTCCATCACCCCTACTTTTTTTTGGCTTCATGAATGTAGGGGCGCCTGTGTGTGCGTGAGGAAGAGAAAGACAACAATGGTGGGGTCAAGGTGTTAGATCGTTGTACAAATATCAGAAATGGTGAAGGAGGGTGGGGGAAGGCTGAAGTGGGAGAAGGGTCTGTCTTTGGGGTGAGATCTGTACCCTGTAAGCTGAGAACACTGCAGAAATAGCACCTGCTTTGGCCATTCCGAGCAGAGGCCGGAGCACGGTCAGAAATGAGTCAACAGAGGGAGAGCCGCTGACCGAGCCTGCTTGCTTAGTCCCTGCCGGGTCCATTCCACTGGACAAAGATCATTCTTTCCATCTGTGGCTCACATAGCACGTGTGCCCCTCCTCATCCCACATCTCCTGACAGGGAAAGAACAGTGCAACCCGCTGCCACTCAAAGTTTCCACTGTCCCCCCAGCCCATCCCCTTCTCCCGAGTGTCTGAGAACGGCCCTCGAACGCCCTCCTGAGTCACTGTCTGCTTCCCCAGCAGAGCATCAGCTGAGCTGAGTCAGCAGCCTGAGGCCAAGTGGGAAATAGACCTCAGCATGGACTCCCAGCCCAGGAGAAAGGGCCAGGCAGTAGGAAAGTCCAGAGCCTTGGCTGAAGGACCCCTGACGCCCCCTGCATCCCTATGTTCCGTGAATTTAAGGGGCAGGACACGAGATTCTCACTCTTCCCTCTCTCAGAATCCACTGCCAAGGCTCCTCTTGTGAAATAAAGGGACATTCCAGCAAAGCCTGGATGAGGCTGAATTTAGGCCCCTTCTCACTTCACCCCTGGAGATGAGGAGCCGCTTCCTACCTGGGTTTTCTGTCTCCATTCTCTCTGCTGCCCCCCGTTTATTTTATCACGAGAATGAAGTCACACATGGCACCCCCTCCACTACCTGGCTTAAAATTTGTCAGCGGCTCTCCACTTCATTAAGAATGAAGTTCCAACCCATACACCCTGGCCTCTGGCTACCAGTTCCAGAAGCTGTATGGGTGGCTTTCGGAGGTCTTCTGGGGACTTGAGTTCAACAGGGAAGGTGGGGTTACTCCAAGTGCCTGCCACGGTGACCAGCATCAGCAAGCTTGGGGGCAGCCATGTTTTCTGGGTCCTACCAACGGGCACATGGCTCCACACTCCTAGTTCAAGGACTTTAGAATCTGGGGTAAATTCCCTGAGAGAATTTGGAGACAGTACCCAGTAGACAGAAAAAAACCGCAGCCCCACAGATTACACCACCCCTGACGCCCTGCCCAGGATGCTGCCTGGTCCAGCGGAAAAGGCTGGTTGGAAAAAAGAGTTCTCTGGCTAATTTCTGGTGTGAGCTAAAGCAAACCCCTAAGTCTTTCTTGGCTCCGGTTTGCTCATCAGTTGCAAATAGAGGAGAGCACCAAGCCCATCCACGCCACCAGACAGGCGAACACAGTGGCAGCCTCATCCTGGTCCCTGGTCGCGCACCCCGTCGCAGCGCCAGGGCTCAGCTGAGCCGACCCTGGCCAACCACATGGACAACCCAGGGCCCTTGCCTGCCTGTGTGGCCACAGAATATGGAGACAAATCAGATCCTCTCTGGGAACAAAAGATCCCAGGGGGCTGTAGCCCCACGGAGGCGCCTGCTTGTGACTGTTCCCTCACGACAGGCCCGGCAGTGCGGTCCTTGCTGCTACAGAGCCCTAACGGTGCCTGGAAAGCTCGGCTGCAATTCAGCAGACACACTGAGTGCTCTCGGGAGCTGGGCAGAGCTCACGACAGGCCAGGAGGTACGGCCTGGCTACCAGCAACCCGTCTCCTCCGGCCCCGCTCCCCAGCACCGCAAGGCTGCCCCTCGGAGCCCCAGGCCTTTGTCCTCCCAGTAGGGAGCTCCAACCACACTTCCCTGAGGTGGTCACCTTTCTACAGGGCTATTGACAGGTCACTGAGACGACACTGTCATAGGTCTCGCATAGTTCCTGACACCCAGTGGGCACTTACAAATGACAGCCAGTGTCATTTCAAGTTTCAGATGGGAACGAAGAGCTGGGGTAGGGGATCCAGGCGGCCGGGCAGCTCAGCTCTGCGGGGGGGGCACATTCCCAGGGGGTGGGGACTCCTGGCCCTGGGTCACCTGGAGGGTAGGGATTTGGAGGCCAGCCCAGCCTGCTCCCCCGCAACTGCCCTGCCCCTGTCTAGATGAACACAGGATGTCCCGAGGCTACCAGGGCCCCATCTTGCCTGGGATGGGATCCAGGTGCCTCTGGGCAACTGTCCTGCTAAAGTTTTCCCAGGGGCTCCCACCAGAGCCGACAGGGAGGGTCCCAGAGGTCCACACTGACATCCTGACCTGCAAGATTCCTGCCCCGTGAGATTCCAGCCTGGCCTCCTCCCGGCTCTGAATTCCGGCCCCGACTTCCGGCCCCAGGAGAAAATCTGACACCCAAGATACCAAGAGCGAGAGTTGTGATGCCTGGGCTGTGTGCTGGCTGGATCCTCTGGGACCTCCTGCCTGGACGCTGGGTAACCGAGGCTCAGGGTGCACACAGCTCGTTTGGCAGCACACACTTGAACCCAGTCCCCCGATTTGGCCCGCTGCTCGTTCCACTCTACTTTGGCGGCTGTTCCGAGGTGCCACAGTTCTAAGGGGACCAGGGTCATCGGTCAGGGTAGGGGCTGGGCTCGGCTGAGCACCTCAGAAATGACAGCTGACTCTCCAGCAGCACGCAAGACCACAGCTTTCACTTCTCTTCTCTCAGCCCTTCCCTTCTTCATCAGGAGGCCCCAGCAGGGGACCAGTGGAAAGACGCACAGCAGGGTCTGGCCTAGCTGGCCCCAGGGAGGCCGGGAGGGCGGGATGGCAGCCCAGGTCCCGGGCCAGGCTGGGCACACAGGCCAAGGGCCAAGGGGCAACGTGCTGGGCAAGGCCCCCAGATTGTTCTAGGTGGGGTGGCTGTCCTACGACCCTCTGAGTCTTTGTTAGCAGGAAGTGGCACTTCTTAGAGTCTCACCTGCCCCCACCCAATACCAGTTACTGATGAACCAGGTCAGGTAGCGAGGTCACTAGCTGTCTCTTAACTACTAGTTGGCCCATCCAGTGTATAATTTCAAAGGAGTATGATAATAGTTTTATCGACCTTGTTAAGACTTTGCACTAGAAAGGCTTCCGGGGGTGGAGCAAGGGATAGGGTGTCCTGAAACAGCAACATAAAAAATCAACCAACAAAACCCCCGAAGGACCCATTTTTGCCACCACTACAATAACAAAGGAGCCCTGGTGGCACAGTGGTTAAGAGCTCGGCTGCTAACCAAAAGGCAGGCAGGTAGGATCCACCAGGCATTCCCTGGAAACCTATGATAGACGGTCCCACTCTGTCTCATAGGGTCGCTATGAGTTGGAATCGACTCAGTGCCAACACGTTTGGTTAGGGCTTGGTTTACAACAACGAAAGGCCATAGAGAAACAGCACAGCAGAGGGACAGTGACCTTAGGGGAGGGTGGAACAAGGGTCCCCCTTCGCTGGTGGCCTCCTCAGTCTGCACTGCACCAAGCCAGTGCCCACCCCCCTGCATCCTCCTTCCTTGCTTTGCAGCCACACTGCTGACGGTCCCGACCCCAGGGAAAGCCTGAGGGGACTTGAGCTCCCTCACTGACCACATCACGCTATCCCCTGCCACAACCAGCGGCTGCTAGTAGATGTCTAGGGCTGCTCAGGCGGACATGTGGCACGCTGGCTGGTTGTGCTCACAGGTGGCCTTGGCAAGAGGACTTGGTGGCCTTTCCTTGAATGTGTGTCTTCCAGGACTCAGCAGATCTGAAAAGGATAGAGGGCTGGGCATAATAAGAGCCAGGCTGGGGCCAATGGTGACAGTGCCACCACCTCCACCCCCTGCCAAATCCTCTACTGCCACTGGAAGACTTCTTGGCAGGGAAAGGCTGGGGGGAACAGATACCACAGGGGCAGAGGCCTCAGCCAGTCCATCAGTGCACAAGACGGAAAGGGACAGGCCCAGTCTGGGAGGGCCTCTGAGGGCTGAGGGCACAAAGCTCCCTTGGGGTAGGGACTCCACTTGTTGTCTCTCCTCCAGCTGGGACTCTGGAGCTGCTCACAGAGCCGCCTCTCCTCCAGCTGGGACTCTAAAGCCCACTCACAGAGCCTCCTCTCCTCCAGCTGGGACTCTGGAGCCAGCTCATAAAGGTGACTTAGGGCTTGGGCCCAAGATCCTTCACAGAGAAGGGACCCATTGGCTAATAGCCACAAGGAACCCAGGACTTTCCAGAAGAAATTAGTGGCTAAGATGATGATCTTTGTTTAGGAAAGAGAAAATATATGTGATGGATAGTTTTGCTCTGAAAAGAGAGCATAAGATTTCATTGAAGTGATGGGAATAACTTTGGAAGAGAGCGTGAGAGTCGGCAGGGTTTGGAAGAGGTAGTAGACAGGTATTGACTCGATCCCTCCTCTGAAGAAAGGCTATTTAAACAGCACAGATGGAATCAGCTGATGATGGCCTTGCCCAGGGAGTATGTAAGATGGCGGCCTTCCCTTCAGGATTCTGTGGAGGCCCGGCCCCAGCCCAGGCAGCCTGCACCCCTCACCCATCACCCTCCTCCACCCACTACTTCTCCTGAGCAGGAAGGATCCAGAGGCCAAAGCATGAGCCCCAGGCCAATAGGAGAGCAGTAGCACTTCCCCCTCTGCCCAGCACACACACACACACACACACACACACACACACACACACACACACAGAGACACACAG